GCTTTGCCTGCTAAGGGGCAAATTCCTGTATGAAAAACTCCAAAGCCTCAAGCATATTCCAGCAGAAAGAACATCAGGACCTGAAACTTTTACTTAGAACTCTTTGAAATGGCTGCCCTTAAAGTGAACCAGGTCACAAAAGCCCCAGCCTGGCCTTAGAAACTTCTGAATGACTCACACAAGAATAACCAAGTTTAGCCAGGTGTGGTGGCTCATGCCTGTAATCCCAGCACTTGGGAGACCAAGGTGGGTGGATTGCCTGAGCTCATGGGTTCAAGACCAGCCTGCGCCAGAGCAAGACCCTGTCTCTAAAAGTAGCTGGGTGCTGTGGCAGGTGCCTGCAGTCCCAGCTACTTGGGAGGCTGAGGCAAGAGATCACTGGAGCCCAAGAGTTTGAGGTTGCTGTGAGCTATGATGCCATAGCGCTCTACCGAGGGTGACAAACAGACTTTGTCTCAAAAAAAAGAATAACTAAGTTATTCTGTGATGGGCACACACGGCCTGTCCACCAACTGAGCAATGGATAGCATAGAAGCCAGGAGGTGGGGGTGGACCAGGGCTTCGGCTTACAGTGGAAGGGAGAATAAGTTTTAGTGAGAGAGGCAGAGTTTTTGTTGGTAATCCAGAACGTGGAACTAGGCATCAGGTGAGAGTTGGGGAGTGGAAGGAGATGAGAGCTTCTGGACAGGTGGGGGTGGGAGGGGAAAAGTAGGTTTCAAGTGGCTTTTGCATCTGCAGTAGCCCACATGGCTCATCAATGAACAGCCACAGTGGACGTGAGCAGCAGTCTACCCAGTCAAGGTAGACAAGACAACCCAAGTGAGGCAAGACAAGGCAGAAGGACTGAAGCAGTCTGACCTTGGTTCCCAAGGAACCTGTTTCTGTTTTTCTTGCCTTACCACGTAACATGCCATATACCTATCATGTATCTTGTGAAAAGTCAGAACGAAAATAAAAGGACAAAACTCTGAAGCCTCTTGCCAATTTAGTAAAACTGACTCTGGGCTGGGCATGGTGGCTCACGCCTATAATCCCAGAACTCTGGGAGGCCAAGGCAGGTGGACTGCTTGAGCTCAGGAGTTCAAGACTAGTGTGAGCCAGAGTGAGACCCTGTTTCTATTTTCTCTACTAAAAAAGAAGAACTAGCTGGGCGTAGTGACAGGTGCCTGTAGTCCTAGCTACTTGGGAGACTGAGGCAGGAGGATTGCTTGAATCCACGAGTTTGAGGTTGCTGTGAGCTATGATGCCATAGCACGTAACCTAGGCAACAGAGTAAGACTTTGTCTCAACCCTCCCTCCAAACACCCCCCCCCCCAAACAACTGACTCTGGATATAGGCATTTCTATACAGTTTATTTTACTTTCTGGAGGAAAAGGAGGACACTTTCACCTCGGCATGGGCCTGTCACCCTTGCTCAATGTACTCTTTTGCCTGTTGTGCTGCAGACATGTAGGAGAACTATCAGAGGGGCTGACAGTTATTCCCATAGACTGCACAGAGGAGGGAGGTCTCTCAGCAGCCTTACTAACACTCTGCATGTGCGAGGAGCTTTACAACGCTCCAGGCATTATCAGCTCTGTGTGGCTATTTCGTAAGCATAAAGTTGGCCTGAGAGGATCTGATGAGAAAGCCCCTTTGAGGAGGGCATCTCTTCCAAACTTCCAAACCAACAAGTTGAGGGTAACCTGTTAGGCCTGCCTGTTTGTAGGAAAAAGCAGTTTTTGAAGTGTAGAAGGGGAAGGACTGTTATTTTTGCTGAGAAGGAAAGCTCCTTCCCGAGTCAGTGGCTGATTCTTCTACTGAATGGAAAGGAGCCAGATCCCTGAGAGAAGAGCTCTGGAAGTCAATGGAATGGAAATAGAGGGCAAAGTTCAGGGCAAAGGACTGACAGGAGGACTCAGCGCAGCCTGGTCCCTCTCACAGCTAGCACGGGAATGTTCTGGAGATGAGCAAAGGGCATGAGGGAAGGTGGGTTTGGGGAGTCACAAAAGCAGCCATGCAAATGAGCACAGAGCAGGCCCAGCAGGAACTTCTGCCCTGAAATCGGGTGATTAGGCCAATCGGCAAGGAAGATGGTCATGTGAGCAGAATGTAACAGAAAGCTGCTCCACAGTGCCAGATCAACCAAAGGGGGAAAGGCCAAAAAGGGCTCAGAGAAACAGCAGATTTATGCTAATTTTCCTACTAACATTTTATGGGTTTTTGCTATTAGAAATAATTCCTTTGCTACCTACGTCAAAGGGTTATAAAGATAAATAAGATAATAGACGTAAGTACTTAAAAAAAAACAATAAAAAGCGCCCAGAAATGCAAGGATTTTTTTAAAATGGAAAATTGTAATGAAAAGCCTTTCAAAGGAATCTAATTTTGCCCTTTGATGGACTGCATATCTAGTTGGTCTTTCCTACCTACTAAAAATAATTCCAACATGAAACTCCCTGAATAGCAAAGCCATGAGAATAAGACCTCATTTATAGTTGCAAGGAATTAGAAGCTTTGTTAAAATTACATCTTCCACAGGTGATAACCTGGTTAGCTATGGCTCCAAACCCGGAGATTTTCATTGCCTGCAGGTTACCAAGTCAATAAGTCAAAGGTAAATAATATACATTTAAATAGCTTAATTTTTAGCTGGACTCAAATTGGGAACTTTCCTCCATAACTATCTCCTGAAAATCATTTCACGTGTACTGGATTGGCATCTTTTTCAGATCTGTCAACTACAAGAACAGTCAGCACAAATCACAAGGACAAAAAGTTGGGCTGCTTGTTTTCACTGTTGAGAAGGGACTGCAAGAAGTCTAGTTTGGACCTAACAGCGGCCGGATGTGAGACTCTTGCCATGCTGCAGAGCACCCCTGGGGAGGTGCTGAAGTTGGGAGCTTGGGAGGGCAGCCCAGCAGGACCAGGAAGGCAGGCCTGCAGGGCCCTTTCACTCTCAGGCTAGAGGCAGTGGGGCAACCTTGGCTCTTGGAGTCAAAGTCCCTTTGGGCATCTTCCCTCCACAGGTAAGTCATTTGGGAGGCAGTTCTGCTCTTTGGGGAAAATTTATGTATTGGTGACTCAAATGCAGTTGTTTATAGTTGGTATGTTTAATTCTCTCAAGTACTGTATTTATATCCTGTAATAGGAACATAATCCTTTAACACTGTAAAGGTTACTTATGAGAAAATAAGTGATTCTAGACATTCCAAATGAGGTTCAAGCTTGTTAAGAAGCTCCCAGGTACTCCAATAGGATTTTAGATGGGTATTAATGTAGTGTACCTTTTCCTCCTACCCTGCTGGCTGTTCCTGGGTTACCCTCAAAGTCTGCTCCACCTACTCCATGAAAGCAGGTTCTGCAGGCTGCTCACTCCATACTGTCCCCAGGCAGTATGACCTGTTGTCAGGAGTTCAAAAGTCACTGAGAAGCTGCTGGCTCTCAATATTGTCCCTGGCCTATCTTCTGACTCCATATCTATTTCTCAGCTTTCAACACTAGGGCTTCTTCATTTCAATGTCTCAAACTCAACAAGTCCCAAGTGGAATCAATCACCTCTCCTCCAAATCTGCTTCTCTGCCTCTGTTCCCGCAATGACTGACACCCCCACATCATCCTCCCAGTGCATAAGCCAGAAATCCGTATGTCAGCCTCACTTCCTTTCCCTAGGTCTATGCAAGACTAGTCGCTGAGTCCTGTGGATGCTCCCTCCTGCTCTCTCCTGTCTGTCCCCTTCTCGGCATTCACCTGCACTCAGTTCAGCCACTTCCCTGCCTCTAGTCTTGCATGTTCCCCAGTCTCCAACATCCTCTTCACCGGAGGCTAGAGCTATCACTTGAAGACATAAATCTGATCACGCAACTCTCCTCTAGAGGCTTCTATCTGTCTTCAAGATGGTGCCCAAATGCCTCTGCATGACCCACAAGGTCCCCTACAAAGCAGTCGTCCACTGCTCACTTCTCTGTCCCCTTTGCACCGCAGCCTCTAGCTCTCCCCAAACATTTTCCCCTTTCCTGCCCACTACTGTTTTCTCCTGGTCTTTGCACATGGTGGTCTCTAGACTCAAATGCTCTCCCTCCCTCTGCCTACCTCCTGGATTACTGGGGCTGGCCTACTAAGTGCATATCCCTCCCTCTGGGCCCCCTAGCCTGGTTAGCTGCCTCTCCTCTTGAATTCCTGACCACTTTTTACTTATCCCTACCTGTGGAACTTACTTGTGGCGCTTGCTGCAAGTTCAACTGCTAAGCAGGGACCAGGTTCTGTGTTTGATCCAGACCCATAGCCCACAAACATTTACTATAGAACTGGATAATCCTGCATAAAACAGCCAGTGATGAGTCTAGTTCTCCACAAGTCAGTGCATTTCACATATCCAATCACCCTGCAATTCCCTTGATAACAGAACAATTAAGACAAGTGGTTACAAAGACCTGGATTAAAACATACACACACCGTCCCCAGTGGTGTTTTAGTACTGGCTGTAATAAAATGGGTGATTGTATAAATATCATCTACTTATTATCATGTCTCCTGCCCAGAAATTCACCCAATGACTCAGTTTACTTTAACAGGCACTCAAGGATGAGCTCAGTAACCTTAGGCCAGGAACATATGCCCAAAGGTACTTTTTGCGTGCCAAGAATCCACTTGAGTGTCATAATCAGGTAAACTATGAAATGTCTTTTTTCTTTTTTTAATTTTCTTTACTTCCATGGAATGGCTTCATTTTGGGGGTTAGAGGCACGGAGAAATGATTTCTATTTATACTTTCTCAAATTTACTTCTTGTATGAATGAATTAATATTTTTTTAGCATCAAAGTTTATTCTTAAATGAAAAACAGCACTGGGCGGTGCCTGTGGCTCAAAGGAGTAGGGCCGGAGGTGGCGGGTTCAAACCCAGCCCCCACCCAAAAACTGCAAAAAAAAGAACAAAACAAAACTAACAAAAACAGTACTTCAGCTAATGTGAACAGGTCTGACGGTACAGTTTATTACTTGTTGGTTTTAACAACTCAATGAAATTCAGTCCCTCCCCGGCCATTATCGATCACCTCAACAGAAAACCTACTGCCTCAAATTCAATTACAAGCTATTTAATTGTATGCCAAATCTTTTTTTCCTATTGTACTTTTAATAAAGCAGTCACTGGGAGCCACACAAAGCTTGTTGGGTGAACCATCGGCTCCTGCCTTTTAATTTCACAAAAAATCTTTAGCTTTTAAAATCATGGAAGCCTTCTAGACAGCACGCGGCTAACCTAAGGGGAACAGATGAATTTCTCCTACGTAAAGCTCAAACTCAAGCACATTCCCGGGGAGGCAGGGCCCCAGATGTCAAGGCTGCCTTTCTATGTATCTGAGCTCTGGAATTCCAGAGTACCAACCCCCAAAGGACCACAGCGCTCACACCCATGTCGGATATGAGTTGCCAGTGAAAAGGTGCAGAAGAACCAAACTCTAGCCCCAACCACACGAAAACTTTCAGCAGCTCAAAATCCTTATCCAGTTAACACTAGCTTATTGTTATAAAAGATAACTAGTTTCGGAAAATATAACGTACGAGTCGCCGCCTACAGCATCTCTCAAAGCATCCACGACGGCTAAAGTCGCCACGAATCCTGCTACTACAAGCTGCCATTTGTTGAGCGCCAAGAGCCAAGCCAAGACCTAAAGCCTTCGTGGATCGTCCCGTTCCTGGGTTACGGTGACCCTAGGTAGGGAGTGGATCCTAGATTCCTGCAGGAAGCCGGCCGCAAGGCCAGTTTCCTCCCGGCCGACTCCGAAGGGAGGACAGGTTGACAGTCACCTGCTTACCAGGGTGAGAGCCACCTCCAGCATGGGGGCGAGGGCCAGAGTGCCGTGGAAAAGGGGGATACAGTCCACGAAAAGGGTGTGGTGGGCGCCCGGGCCGCCCAGCGGCAGGTGCTCCTTGCGCGGCTTCTGCTTCTCGGCCACCAGGAGTCCGTTGACGGCGCAGTGCGGGTACTTGGCGCCGTGCAGCACCATCTTGCAGTAGGCCTGGGTGGTCAGCTTCACCCCGGGCATGCTGAGCCCGGGAGGGCCCCGGAGGCCCCTGGGCGAGCGGTGGAGGCCTGGACCCGCTGCTCGGCAGCGTGGCGCCTCAGCGGGGAAGCAGGACTAGGCGGCGGCGACTGCCCGGCGCGGCCACGGGCTGGCGGGGGCCCCCCCC